TGTGTGTGTGTTGTGTGTGTGTGTGTGTGTGTGTGTGTGTGTGTGTGTGTGTGTGTGTGTGTGTGTGTGTGTGTGTGTGTGTGTGTGTGTGTGTGTGTGTGTGTGTCCGCATGCACTTGCAAAACCTCGCAGCGGCGCCTGGAAAAAAACACCAGCGGGAGCAGGAGGAGGGGGGAGGACAGAGGGCGGGAGGCCGAGGTGGGAGGAGGCAGGGCCAGGGAGCGGGGAAGAAGGGCCACGACAGCGAGGAGAGAGGGAGAGATCGCGGGGGGGGGAGGAATGGAGCAGCAACAGCAGTTGCAGGGGAAAGGCCGAGGGCAGAGGAAGAGAGAGGGGGGGACAAAGGGAAAGGAAGGCGGGCGCTCGCCGGGGCAGGAAGACGAGGTCCACCCTGGCATCGGAAACGGAGCCCGGGCCGAAAAGCCGGGGGGATCGTCCTGCGCGGGGTCGGCAGCCGTGCTCGCTTGCTTCGACGTCCTGCGCCTCCACGAATGGGGGCGCGGCAGCGTCCGGGCGCCGAACGGCGGCGCGCGGCCCCGGCAGCGACGGCATCTAGGCGGACATGGCACCCTCCTCCTCCCCCTCCCCCTCCCCCCCCCGCCCCCCCCGCCACCCTCCTCCTCCTCCTCCTCCTCCTCCTCTCCCTCCTCCTGCCTCCTCCCTCCTCCTCCTCCTCCTCCTCCTCCTCCTCCTCCTCCTCCTCCTCTCCTCTCTCCTCCTCTCCTCTCTCCTCCTCCTCCTCCTCCTCCTCTCCTCCCCTCCTCCTCCTCCTCCTCCTCCTCCTCCTCCTTTCCTCCTCCTCCTCCTCCTCCCCTCCTCCTACCCTCCTCCTCCTCCTCCTCCCCGCCTCCTCCTCCTCCTCCTCCTCCCCTCTCCTCCCCTCCTCCTCCTCCTCCTCCTCCTCCTCCTCCTCCTCCTCCTCCTCCCTCCCTCCCTCCCTCCCTCCCTCCCTCCCTCCCTCCTCCTTCTCCTCCTCCTCCTCCTCCTCCTCCTCCTCTCCTCCTCCTCCCTCCTCCTCCTCCTCCTCCTCCTCCTCCTCATTCCTCCTCTCCTCCTCCTCCTCCTCCTCCTCCCGTAGCCATTTTGGCTCAAGTAAACCATTTCTCGAGGTGGTTTCAGTGACCAGGAGCCTGCCCAGCAGGCTCGGCCCGCGCATCAGGGGCCTGCTGGGTAAGGCAGGCGCCTTCACATTTTCACTGCTCCGTGGAGCCTCCCTTACTGTACTGGTTGGGCAGGAGATCAGTTCTTCACGGCCGCGCATGGGGCGCAAGGCGAAGGATGATCAGCTAACTGGAAGCCAGTACGCGAAGTGCAGGGGATGTGGATATAAGTGGAACTGGGCCACCAGGTCGGAGTGCTACATGTGCAAGAGGGGCCTGCAGCCAGCCACCTCTCAAGAACGAGCCCCGCAGGGCGCCTGGGGCCCCAGTGGCGCCTCCTCGCGGCGCCGCAGCCGCCCCTCGGTCAAGCCGAACCGCGAGGAGCTCCTCAAGCAGCTGCGGGCCACCATCCCCGACGGCGACGCCGAGTCCGCCCAGCACCTCGAGGCGCTCGCCCGCGTGCAACCCCCGGAGGTGCACCCAGACGTCGCCCTCAACCAGGCCCAGGCGCGGCTGCGCAGGGCCGAGGCAGCGCTCAAGCGGACCATCGAGGGCATCTCCGAGGGCGAGCAGTGGCTGCAGGACCAGAAGGAGCAGCGGGAGACCTGGGTCCTCGAGGTCGCCGACGCCGAAGCGGCGGTCCAGGCGGCCTACGCTCGAGCGGCGCCCAAGGCCGCGGCGCCTGTGGAGGAGCCCACGCCAGCCCTGGACCTCTCGCAGCTGCTCGAGGGCGACCTGGACCTCCTCAGCGTGCGGCCAGGCAAGGCGTTCGATCTCGAGGGACTCGACATCCCGCCTGGGGAGCACCGCCAGTTCGAGGAGCAGATGGGCCAATTCGTCAAGCAGGTCCAGTCCGAGGTCAAGCGGCACTTCGGCCCAGCGGCTGAGGGGCTCGCCGCGATGCGAGCGGACCTCAAGGCCTTCAGCGACAGGCTCAAGAGCAAGAGGGCTCGGTCGGAGCCCCCACCTCCAGAGGCCGCCGCCGCTCCCGCCTCAGCGGCGCCCGCGGGCAAGGCGGCAGGCAAAGGTGGCCCAGGAGGCGGGACGGCCGACGGCAAGCAGCCAGTGGCGGCCGCGCCCAAGGCGGCTCCCACAGGGGGGCCACCAGCTCCTCCCCCTGGTGGCGCTGACGGTGCTCGCGACGCTGCTGCAGCCAGCGGCGGCGGCGCTGCAGGCCCCACCGCTCCTGCGGGGGCCCCAGGCAGGACTCCCAAGCGCGAGCTGGCACAGGACGTCCGAGCCAGGATCTTGGAGCGGGCAGCCGCCAAGCCTCCAGCTGCTGACGGATCCTCCAGCACAGCCTGAAGGACCAGCCCCGCAGGGCTGGCGACGGTGGCGACAGCGCCCACGCCGTGGTCGGGGCAGGACTGCCGCGCGAAGGCGAGGAGCGCCAGCCGCCCCACCAGACATCGACGGGGTCGCGACGACCCCCACTACTTCTACGAGTACTACCACTACATGGGGTACGCCTCCTCCGCCCGACCTGGAGGAGTCGCTCCGAAGGGCGGGCAGGCAGTTGCAGCCTGGGCCCAAGCGGGTGGCCTTCATCGTGGGGACGAGCGCCCACGTCCCAGCCATCGATGAGGGCCTTGACATCCTGGACGGGGACGGCGACAGCTCCTCCTCGGACACCTGGGCACGGCGGGCGCTCAGGGGCGCGGACACACTCCGTCGCCAGCTGCTCGCGCCGTGGCTCCGACGGCTGGACTTCAGCTCAGCCTCGAGCACGGCCACGGACGCCTCGGAAGAGGCTCCAGTGACGCATGAGTGGAGAGCCGCGGATGCGCGGGTGGCCGATGCCTCTCCCCATGCGCCCCTCTCGCTGATGCCGCCGACAGGCGGGTGGCCGATGCCTTCAGCGATGCGCTCGTGGGACGGAGAGCCGCAGACGTGCGGGTGGTCGACGCCTCTCGACACGAGCGCCCCCAGCTCGGCTCCCCTGACGGGGGGGTGGCCGATGCAGCCCAGCTGGGGGGAGGGATACTGGAAGCCTCGATCGCGGGGCAAGGGGCGCCACGCCAAGCCTGGCATGGTGCTCAGGGGCCTCAACGGCAGCGCCTCGGAAGAGGCTCCAGTGACGCATGAGTGGAGAGCCGCGGATGCGCGGGTGGCCGATGCCTCTCCCCATGCGCCCCTCTCGCTGATGCCGCCGACAGGCGGGTGGCCGATGCCTTCAGCGATGTGCTCGTGGGACGGAGAGCCGCAGACGTGCGGGTGGTCGACGCCTCTCGACACGAGCGCCCCCAGCTCGGCTCCCCTGACGGGGGGGTGGCCGATGCAGCCCAGCTGGGGAGAGGGATACTGGAAGCCCGATCGCGGGGCAAGGGGCGCCACGCCAAGCCTGGCATGGTGCTCAGGGGCCTCAACGGCAGCGCCTGGGGCACTCTCGTCGACCACTTGGACGAGATGCCGCTGGGCAGGAACACCATCATGCTGGTTCAGGAGCACCACCTCACCAGCGACTACGTCGGCGAGATCAGTGCCAGCTGCTTCCAGAGGCACCTCACCGTCGCCCTCGCTCCCGCGGCTGCGGGGCCAGGTGGCGGCAGAGTGGCAGGAGTGGGGATCGTCGCCCCGCGCTGCGTGGGCCTCACCTACCTCGAGGGCGTGGACACCTTCGACTTCTCGCCGCCAGGCTCGCCAGGAAGGCTGGTGGCGGCCTGGACTCCTGGGTTTCTTCGCGGTGGCCTCATGGTCCTCAGCGCCTACTTCTGGGTCACCGAGGGCTGGACGGTTCGCAACCTGCCCATCTTGGACGCCATCGGCGAGCTGGCGAGGGCCGACGACACCCCGTGGGTCCTCCAGGCCGACTTCAACAACACCCCCGACACGCCCATGGCCACGGGCTGGGTGGCCGACGTCGGGGGCACCATATTCTCCTCGGCCGCCCCCACCTGCAAGGGCAAGGGCGGCGGGAGGGTCATCGACTACTTCGTGGTGGACACGCGCATCGCGTCAGCCTTCGGTGCAGCGGAGGTGCTCGACGCGCCCACCGCCCCGCACAGCCCCGTCGCCATCACGACGGAGAGGCCTCTGCGGGAGCGGCTAGGCTGGAGGCTGGTCAAGCCTCGTGCCTTCCCGACTCGCCCCCCTGTGGGCTGTCGTCGGGGGCCTCCAGCCTGGCCGACCCTCGACAGTGACGCAAGCTACACCGACGCCGAGCTGGAGGAGCTGTGGGCTGGGTTCTCGGCGGCGGCCGAGCACGACCTGCAGGGCATCCACGACCTCGTCGGCGAGGCCGACTACACTGGCAGGGGGCGTCACCCCCGACGGGCCCGAGCCCCGATCGCAGGCCCAGAGGCGCATGCGAGGCCCAGGGGCACCACGCGCTCCAGGGCATGGCGCTGGGTGGCCAGCCGCGTCGGCGACATCGTCTGGCTGGCGCAGGCGGCCCGTCAGCGGCGCGACTGGCAGCCGCATGCCGACCAGCGGCGGCGCCTGCGCAGGCGCCTCCACCACGGCGCTGCCCGCTGGTGCGACGCGCTGGGCGACGACGCCAAGGCCGTGCACGCCGAGCTCCTCGCGCTGGGCGACCTCACCTGGGACGGCGACGCGCTCTGGGAGGACGCCCCCAGAGCCATGGAGCTGCAGCGTCGGGCCACGCAGCAGGCCCACGTCATCGAGCAGGGCCTCCGAGCCCAGAGGGCCAAGGCGTGGCGCCAGAGGCCCAAGGACGGCTCGCAAGGAGGTGCGGGCTTCGTCCACCGCATGTCGAAGTGGCGCCAGGGAGTCGACCCCGCGCTTGGGGCCCGAGGGCGCACCAACCTGGACATGACGTGCCCTCAGGCTGCGGTCGACTTGGAGGCGCTGAAGTGGATCGACCTCTGGACCTCCCACGGCGCCCAGAGCCGAGGCGAGCTCCCTCGTCCCTGGGGGTCGGCCACCTTCGAGTACAGCATGGTCAAGCCGACAGCGGACGACATTAGGTCCATCTGCAGGGCCTTCCCCGAGCACACGGGGGTCGGGGTGGACAACTGGCACCCCAGGTGGTTCGCGAGCTTGGGGGGGGCGAAGGGCTCGAGTTCCTGGCCGCCTTCGTCGCCTACGTGTCGCGCACGGCCAGGTGGCCCCTCAGCTGCGCTACGTGATGCACTTCCTGCTGGCCAAGCAGGGCGGGGGGACCAGGCCCATCGGCCTCCTCACCACTGGCACGCGGCTGGTGGAGCGCGCGCACTCGCACCTGTTCCACGACTGGGAGCGGGAGATTCGGCGGGACTACGACTTCGCGGCGCCAATCGGGGGCTCGGAGGATGCGATACGGCAGCAAATGTTGTTTGACGAAGGAGCCCAGCCTGGAGAGGTAACGGGCACAGCGGTCCTGGACTTGGAGAAGGCGTTCGAGCACATCACGATGTACCTGCTGTGGGCTGAGGCGCCCAAGCA